CAGGGGAGGGCAGAAAGGGAGACAGAGAATCTCAAGCAGGCTCTGCACTGTTAGTGCAAAGCCTGACGCAGGGCTTGAAACCATGAACTGTGAGATCATAACCTGAGGTGAAATCAAGAGTCAGATGGCTTAACCAACTGAGCCACACAGATGCCCCACTTTTTTTTGTATTATTAAAATGATGAAATAACCCAGGCATTTTCTTTTTTACTCTATTATTATGGTGAATCACAGTGATTGATTACTGAATGTTAAACTAACCTTACATTCCTGAGATAAACCTGACTTTGTCATGATGTTTTATCTTTTTGAAATATATTATTGGATTCAATCTGTTAACATTTTTTTAAAAAAATTTTACACCTCTACTCATAAGGATATTAGTCTGTAGTTTTCTTTTCTTATAATGATTTTTGACTGGTTTTGGTATCAGAGTAATATTGGCTTTATAGACTGAGCTGGGAAATATTTCTTCCTCTTCAATTTTCTGAAAGAGTTTGTTCAGAAATGTTATGTTTTTATTAAAAGTTTGGTAGAAGTGAAGCCTACTAGGCCTGGATTTTTCTTTATGGAAAGGTTTTTAACTACAAATTCAATTTTTTTTGAAATTCATTTCTTTCTTTTTTTAAAAAATTAAAAAAAAATAGTTTATTGTCAAGTTGGTTTCCATATAACACCCAGCGCTCATTCCCACAAGTGCCCTCCTCCATGCCCATCTCCCCCTTCCCCCTGAAATTCATTTCTTTTTTTCTTTTCTTTTTTTTTTTTTTACAAATAGTTTACTGTCAGATTGGTTTCCACATAACACCCAGTGCTCATCCCCACAAGTCTGAAATTCATTTCTATTTACTCTTATTTTTATTGTGATAAAATATATGTAACATAAAATTTACCATTCTAACCATTTAAGGGTACAATGCAATGATATTAAGTTCATTCACAACGTTGTGTAACTATAGCCACTATCTATTTCCAGAACTTTTTCATCATTCCAAATAGAAACTCTATATTCATTAAATAATAACTAATTTCCCCAGGCTCTGTATTCTACTTTCTGTCTCTATGAATTTCCACTCTATTTTGCTTTCTGCCTCTTTGAATTTATGATATTAACTGTGGTCACTTTATTCAAGTGATGTCTGCAAGGTTACTCTGTGGTAGAATTACACTTTTTACCTTTATGATTGATAAGTGTTTTGTGGAGTGATACTTTGAGATCACACAAATATCCTATTCCTAATAAAATGTTTGCCCACTAGTTTACCATTCACTGCTGTTTCTTTGCTGTGGCTATTCTAGGTACCTCACATAATCAGAATCATAGAATATTTCTTCTTTTGTGTCTGGTTTATTTTACTTAGTATGTATCAGAATTTCATTCCTTTTAATAGCTAAATTAATATTCTATTGAGTGTATATGTCATATTTTGTTTATTTATCTGTTTGATAGATACATTTCCAACTTTTTGGTATTGTGAATAATGCTGCTATGAATAGTGGTATACCAGTATCTGTCTGACTCCATGTTTTTAATTCTTTTGGGTATATGCCTAGCTTGTTTTTATTTATTTTTGAATGAACTTTGGTAGTTTGTATCTTTCAAGGAATTAGTCCATTTATGTTGTTTATTGACATAAAATTCTTCATAATATTCTTTTATTTTCATTTTTATGTCTTTAGAATTTGTTGTGATGTCACCTTTCTCATTCTTGGGATTGGTGATTTTTGTCTTCTTTTTTTCACTTGATCAGTCTGGACAGAGATTTCCATTTTATTTTTCTTTTCAAACAAACAGTGTTTGGTTTCATTGATTTTATCTACTGTATTTCTATGTTATATTTATTGATTTAGGCTCTGATCTTTTTTATTTCCTTTATTCTGCTTACTTTGAGTTTCATCTGATCTTTTTTTTTTAAATTTAAACTCAAGTTAGGGGTGCCTGGGTGGCTCAGTTGGTTAAGCATCCAACTTCAGCTCAGGTCACGATCTCATGGTTGTGAGTTAGAGCCTGGCGTCAGGGGAAGTGCTGACAGCTCAGAGCCTGGAGCCTGCTTTGGAGTCTGTGTCCCCGCCTCTCTCTGACCCTCCCCCACTCATGCTCTGTCTTCTTCTGTTTCTCAACAATAAATAAATGTTAAAAAAAATTTAAATTCAAGTTAGTTAACATACAGTGTAGTCTTGGCTTCAGGAGTAGAGCTCAATGATTCATCTCTTACATATGACACTCGGTGGTCATACCAAAGAGTGCCTTTTTAAATGCCTGTCACTTATTTAACCCTTCCCCTCACCTCCCCTCCAGCAGCCCTCTGTTGTCTGTATTTAAGAGTCTCTTACTGTTTGCCTCCCTTTCTATTTTTATCTTCTTTTTCCTTTCCTTCCCTTATGTTCTGTTGAGTTTCTCAAGTGCCATGTATGAGTGAAATCATATATCTTTTATGTAGCATAATACCCTCTAGTTCCATCCATATTGTTGCAAACGGCAAGATTTCATTCTTTTTCATTGCCAAGTAGTATTCCATTGTGTGTGTGTGTGTGTGTGTGTGTGTGTGTGTGTGTGCGCGCGCGCGCGTGTGTCTATACATACCATACCTTCTTTATCCATTCATTAGTCAATGGACATTTGGGCTCTTTCCATAATTTGGGTATTGTTGATAGTGCTGCTATAAACATTGGGGTGCATGTGCCCATTTGAATTAGCATTTTTGTATCCTTTTGTATACCTAGTAGTGCAATTGCTTGGTCATAGGATAGTTCTACTTTTGATTTTTTGAGCAACCTCCATACTGTTTTCCAGAGTGGCTGCACCAGTTTGCATTCCCACCAACAATGCAAAAGGGTTCCCCTTTCTCTGCATCCTCGCCAACATCTATTTCCTATATTGTTAATTTTAGCCATTCTGACAGGTGTGAGGTAGTATCTCCTTTTTCTAGTTTCTGGTTAAGGTGGAAGCTGAGATCACTGATTGGAAAACTTTCTTCTTTTTAGGTACAGGCATTTGGTGTCAAAATTTCCTTCTAAGTAAAGCTTTAGCTATATTCCAAAATTTTTGATATGCTGTTCTTTTAATTTTCCTTCAGTTTAAACATTTTCAAATTTTCTTGTGTTTTTTCCCCTTTGTCCAGTGAGTTATATGGAGGTTATGTGATTTAATTTCTCCAAATTTGATGGATTTTTCACATATCTTTTTGTTATTGATTTCTAATTCAATTGAGGTTGTCTGAAAAAGTTTTTTATTTCACCTTTGTTTCTGAGAGATATTTTCACTGATATAGAATTCTTTAAAAGTGCTTTAAAGAATTTTCTCCACTTTTAGGGGCGCCTGGGTGGCTCAGTCGGTTAAGCGTCCGACTTTGGTTCAGGTCATGATCTCACAGTTTGTGGGTTCGAGCCCCGCATCATGCTCTGGGCTGACAGCTAGTTCAGAGCCTGGAGCCTGCTTCAGATTCTGTGTCTCCCTCTCTCTTTGACCCTCCCCTGCTCAAGTTATCTCTCTCTCACTCTCAGAAATAAATAAAACATTAAAAAAAAGAATTTTCTCCACCTCCTTCTGGTTTATACTGCTTCTAGTGAGAAACGTGCTCTCATATTTATCTTTTGTACATAATGTCTTTTTTCTCTAGTTACTTTTGAATAAGATTTTCTCTTTTAATACTGATGTTAAGCAATTTGATTATAATGTGCCTTGGTATAGTTTTCTTTGTGTTTCTTGTGCTATGTGTTTCTTGTAATTGAGCATTTTGGATCTGTAATCATCCTATCCTGCTTGGAATCTGACACTCTATGTCATGCCACTGCCATTCCCATACCCACAGAGACACCTATTATCAAATTTATTGATTTTTGCCTATAACACTGGTGAAAAATGTTATCTCAGGATAATTCTAATTTGTATTTCTCAAGGGAGGCCAGGGATTTTAATTGTTTAAAAGTTACTTGTATCTTCTTTTCTATGAACTGTCTGATCGTATCCTTTGTTCAGCTTTTGTGTTGGTGTATTGATCATTTATATATTGATTTATCTATATCTTTTACCTTTTGCATAATAAGTATGTACTTTTGAGGCAGCAAGATACAACATAAAGTTATTTTTTTAATTTTTATTTATTTATTTTTTTAAAGCTTGTTTCTTTTTTTTTTTAATGTTTTTTATTTATTTCTAGGAGACAGAGAGAGAGAGAGACAGCGTGAGCAGGGGAGGGTCAGAGAGAGAGGGAGTCACAGACTGAAACAGGCTCCAGGCTCTGAGCTGGCAGTCAGCACAGAGTCCAACGTGGGGCTCGAACCCACGAACCGTGAGATCATGACCTAAGCGAAAGTCGGATGCTTAACTGACTAAGCCACCCAGGCGCCCCTAAAGTTATTTTTTTTAAATGCTTTAAAATATCCATAGTTTCCTGGTCTCATAAAAATACTCATAACCCATGTTAGCTAGTATTTCATTATAGCTTCTCAGGGGCTTATTTTCATCCTCTTTGTGATGAAACCTACCTAGCTAACAGGGAGGTATGGGAGCTTAAAAACCTGAGAGTTACTCTGGGCTGCCTATCTTCTGACAAGGAGCCCTGGAAATATCACAAACTCTCATATCTATAAAGAGTTTACAGCTATCTTAGTCATTACTTTACTGGATCTTCCAATGGCCCTGAGAGGCTGACAATGACCCCCATTTTATAGACTTTGAATCTGAGGATTGCAAAGGTGAAGTGACTATCATACAGAAGGTTAGATTTAGAAGTTAGCAAGATGATTTCATACTACATACTCAGCATCCCACAGTTAGTAACAAAGGCAAAACTTTGGCTTGGACCCAGGTGCTCATTCTAATGGCAGCAATCAAAGTAGCCATCTATTCTAAGTTGTCAAGTATATCACTTGAGTAGTCACTCTAAGTAGTCAAGAATAGCTTTTCTTCTTCAGGAGACTGCAGACCAAGCCCTTGATAGGCCATGACTGGGCCAGCATAATGGGGGTGCTGGAGGCTAAAGTCTATCTATGCTCACCTTTGGCAGCAGTCAGCATGGTGGAGGCCAGTTCACACTGCTGTGATTCCAAGTGTCCAAGCGTGAACCAGCGAGGATAACGGCTGGGCACCACAGATACCATATGATGAGGGTGAGAAGTGTCTCCTGTAGAAGTTGAGCTTTCTAGAACAGGTAACCTAGAAGATCCAGGGAGAGTCATCAGCCACCATCCAGACCTTTACCATTCTGAGCCACCTTAGAGAAATTTGTTCTTTGCTCGGGAGGAACTGGGCAGGAAAGGGTTAACTAAGAGCTTTAAAGGTTTTAAAACTTAGGGGCACCTGAGTGGCTCAGTTGGTTAAGCATCCAACTTTGGCTCAGGTCACAATCTCATGGTTCATGGGTTTGAGCTCTGCATTGGGCTCTGTGCTGACTGTGTAGAGTCTGCTTGGGATTCTCGCTCTCTCTGCCCCTCCTTGCTCCTCCCTCTCAAAATAAATAAATAAACTTTTTCAAAAAAGGCCTTAAAACATAGAATACTTTACTGTAAGTGAGTTGAGTGCGTGGGCACATGTAGAACTCAAGCTGAATACTCCTTATTGCAAGTGGATTTAAAAAGCAGTTCAAAAGCCCTAAGCTTGCTGTTCTAAAGTCTTGGTGTGAAAACACTTAATTTTACTTCCTTCAGATGCTTCTGATGACCTATGCCTGGGAACCATGATTCATTTGAGCTATGGAAGGGGTTAAACTTATTATCAGTCTTCCTAATGGGTTCCAGAACAATGATACTCAGGTCTTGGGTATTCCCTATCTATTAAAAACTCAGGGGCTTTCTCAGACAACCCACCAAGAGTACATCCAGGGAGCCAAATGGGTCACCAGCAAGGCATTCCAAATGGGAATCCTATATCATATGAAAGTGCCTGAGCCATTTTAGGGTAGGTTTGGTCCATATTTTTAGGTCCAATAGAATAGACAGAGGGTAAGAGAAGAAAATGAAGTAAACAAAGAAAAAGCACAGTGGAAACTTCTTTGATGAAGGCAACTGGGCTGGGAAAGGGCTACCTACCTCATGGCACGTAAGGCTAATTTATAGGACAGGTCTGGATCATGAGGCAGCAGAGCTGAGAATAAATACTTGGCAAAGGTATGCATGGGAACACTCTCTCGGTGAATGACTTCTCCTAAACCACTGAAGGGGCCCCCTGCAGGAAGAAGATGAGGCGGCCAGTTATTTATCTGCATGCTTCTAATTTGCCAACCTGGACTTGGGCTGTAGGATCTTGCACATGTTTGCTAGCCATGGGAACTTTCACTTAAAAAAATGTTTCTATACAGTGCTCTGTTGGAGAGGGGAACCTAGACAGACTCTAGGTTCCCCACAGAGTAAGACGCTGTGACAAAAGTCCTTTTCTACTTACCTTCCAGTAGTGAGATACACTGTTTCTGCAGTGTTTTCACTAGCTCATCGTCCAGCTGTAGCTCCTGAAGTCGACTTAGGAGCTGCTCCTCATTACGGCACACCTTGTCCTGTGCGTAGAGGCCTTCAGGCATCACCCTCTGTTGACCCATCCCCATCAGCGCAACTTCCAGGGCCAATGACAGGTAGGACTCATGGCTGTTTGGGCAGCCTGTAGCCACAGGTACATGCTGGTACACAGGGGGTCTGCTTTCATTCATATCTAAAGGCAATAGGGGACCAGATGGCCTTTAGGTCAGTTCTGTGGATTTTTCTGCTCCTTTCTCCCTCCCACTCTGGAATACAGTTAAATTAGCAGATAGCACCGGGAAACTGAACCAGAACCCCAGAGCAGTAAGGGAAATATACTGAAAAAAGATTATACAGAGCCACAAAGATTCTCACCTCCTTCCCAATATGTGAAGTGGCTAGACCAGTTGGGGAAGAAGATTTTATATTACTCTTTTGCTAACACATTATGTAATACCACAATTATCTGGTTTTGTGTCTGTCTCTTTTACTAGAGTGTGAACACCTTAAAGAGAAGAACTTTAACTTATTGCCCTATGCATCTCCAGGGCATAGCATATGGAAGGACTTAAGTATATGTTAGTGGTGAATAAATCCCAAGTGCCATTTCAGGTTTTCAAGATGTAAATGTCATTGTGTAGATGAAAGAGACCAGAGATGATGATTTCCTTTCAGGGAATTAGAGGAAAGATAAGGGCAGCTCTAGCTTGGGCCACTGCTTGTATCTTTACCCAAAGAAATCCAAATCCATCCAGTTAGACTATTACTTTCGTAACACTGGCAACTTCTGTGTTATTACTTTATATATTCTACTTCTTGGCTCCTAGTTTCAGAAAAAGAGCAAAGGTTTAAAGTCTTTTACAGGTTTAAAGTCTTGGTTTCTTTTCTTTATCTCTCTACTCATCTGGTAAGTATTTATGGAAAACTTAAATGAGACATATTGCACTAAGTGCTGGGATCACAAAGACAAATAAGTCATAATTTCTGCTTTCAAGAAGCTAAAGTCTAGTAAGATAATTACTTGTAAACAAATTGTAATGCAGTGAGCTAAATAGTATAGTGGATGTATGTATACAATATAGTGATGGCATAAAGAAAAGAAAAACCAGTTCTGTTTCTGGTCCTTGCTACCTTGAGACTGCTAAGTTTCTTCCCTTCTAGTTCTCATTGGTAAAATTGGTAGGTAACCATCACGAGGAAGAAAGTTCAAAGGAAATACGAGTACTATGAAGTTGCAAGGGTTACACTCTTCTTGTTGGAAGCTTTTTTTTCACTTCAAGACTGCTCTGTGACTTGGCCTCAGCCTCCTGAAATCCCTCTCACTCTTCTATTTCCTTTGGATCATTCTCTTTAGGCATTCATGGTATTAAAAGTTAGAAGAGCATGGGGACGCCTGGGTGGCTTGTTCGGTTAAGCTTCTGACTTCGGCTCTGGTCATGATCTCACAGTTCATGAGTTCAAACCCTCCATTGGGTTCTGTGCTGATAGCTTGGAGCCTGGAGGCCGGTTTGGATTCTGTGTCTCTCTCTCTCTGCCTCTCCCCTGCTCATGCTCTGTCGCTCAAAAATAAATAAATGTTAAAAAAAAAAAAAAAAAAAAGAAGTGAGAGGAGCAAAGGAAGGCTGGCCAGGTAAATGGGAGAATAGGACAGGGCCAGTCCACTGGGTGGGAAAGTAAGATGGGAAAGAGAGGAAGCCCAATGCAACCAGTCAGGGCAAGTCCAATTTGGAAAAAAGAAAAAGGGCTGCAGAAATGGAGAACAGAGTCTGGCAGGGAAAAGAGGGCTACCAAGGGCAGTTTTAGCTCTCCTCAGGCTGACCCCGGTACCTGACACTTCCAGATAGCCATCATCGTTCAGACGGCAGGCCTCAGTCAAAGTGAGAAACAGGCAGCCAATGGGATCCAGTGGATGGCCCACCCAACCTTCCAGGTTTGTGATGGTTGTGGTTCCTCTCTGTAACAGTTCTGGAAATAAGCAGATCCAAATTTTAGAAAGTGATGGAGACACACAGCTCTCTGTCCCTGCTGAGTCTCCTTATTAGTCTCTTTCAGGCACTGGCCCTGAGACTTAAAGAAAAACTTCCCTCATTGTCTTGCCTTGGATTCATAGTATTGGTCACAAGTTTATCAGCCAGATGTAAGGTCTTGAGGTCTGCATTTAGGTTTCTCACTGATAGTACAAATATATAAACAAAGTTTTACAGTTTAAAAAAGTCATCTTAACCAGGCCTTCCAACTACCCTGTGAGGGAGGCAGACCAGCATTATTATTCCCATTTTGCAGATTAAAAAACCTGAGATTCATAGAGGCAAAGTCAGGCATTCCACACAGCAAGTAGAAAAACATGAAATTCCATGAAACTGCCACTCCATGAAACTTTACAAAAATAAAATAGTAAGCCTTGTAGCCCCTAAGGATCCTTATCAGCCCCAGCCTAAGGAGTTAAGATGGCCCCTTATCACTATACCTTTCTTCTGATGCTTGTAGATTTCCAGCTGCCGTTGCTGCTGCAACCTCAGAGTATTGATAATGGCCACTGTGAGTCTGAGAGCCTCTTTTGGATAACCATGGGAACGCAGGGCATCAACCCGAGCACAGGCTGTAGGCACATGCTCTACCAGGTGAAGAAAATATTTTGGTTGGGTTAGATTTTTCAATCAGGAAAATTCCTATTTGACAAAGGGAGTTTGTGTTTTGCTCAGTTCCTAAAATTCAACTGATATCTACTGTGTACCAAGACCTATGTTTTATCTTTTAAGAATATAATTGAGTAAGTCACAGGCACTACCTTCAGAGAGCTACCATGCAGCCTCAGTATAGTGGTATGACCTAGAACGGAATGCACAGCTAGGATAATAAAATGTAGGTACCTCTTTGTGAAGTTGTACTACAGGAACCCAATGGAAGTAGCAACTAACTGCCTAAAGGGAAAGGCCTTATTCATTTATTAATCCTACATTTCCTGAGAACCTATTATATGCCAGCTAGTTTGCCAAGAAAAGTTAGTAAAAAGGTGAATAAAAAATTGTCACTTCCTCAATGACCTCACAAATGATACACCAACAGATCATTATAAAAGTTAAAAATAAATGACATGATTGAGAAAAAATATTTGAGCTGTACTTTGTGGTACTAGCAAGATTTTAAATAGGTAGAAAAACAGGGAAAGGCATTTCTAGCAAAAGGAACATATAGGCAAACAACATAAGCAAAGGTATATAAATAAAAACACACAAAAAAATTCTATACAGCATGTTCCAAGTATGGCAAATCGTTCTTTGCAGAGTTAGGTTATGTGGCTACAGACAGCTTGGAAATGCAGAGTCTGGGGTGTCAAGAGCTCTGAATGCCATATTAAGGAGTTTGGATTTACCTTGAGGATAACAGAGGAGTATCAAAGGCTTATAAATGGGCAAGTGATTATAATGAGATTAATGGTTCATTTTGTGATTTCTTTTAAAGATAACATTGAAAATTATAGAAATAATTGCAGAAAATTTGAAAAAACAGATAAGCAAAATATAAAATAAAAATCAGACATAGCCATTGTTTTTAGTTTTGTGTATATGTATGCGTGTGTATATATATACAGGGGATGATATTTATTGTTTTATAACTGAGTTTTTCTACTGAGTAACATATTGTAAAATATTTCTATATCATAAAATATATTTCTATAACATTAAAAATGCTTATATATAATTTCTCTGAATATATGTACACTGTCCCTTGAGCCAATCAATCTCCTACTGTTGGACATTTGGATTGTTTCCAATTTTTCTCATCTATACATTATTTATATCCATGCTCTAATAAAACCTCTAGCTTTACAAACATTCTTAGTTTATTATAGCTCAGGAAAAGTTCCTAGATGTAGAATTCCTGGATCAAACGGTATGAATGTATTTAAACAGCTTTTGATCAGTGTTACTGAAATACCCTTCAGATGGGCTACAAGCATTTATATTCCTACCAGTAGGAAAAGAGAGTAACTATCTCCATGAAACCTTTCCCACACCATAAACTAATTATCTTTATTTTAAAAATCTCTGGGGCGCCTGGGTGGTTCAGTTGGTTAAGCATCTGAATATTGGTTTCAGTCAGGTCATGATCTCACAGTTTGTGAGTCTGAGCCCCACATTGGGCTCTGCATTGACTATGGAGCATGCTTGGGATTCTCTGCCCCTCCCCTGCTTGTTCTCTCTGTCTCTCTGAAAATAAAGAAATAAAATTTAAAAAGGTCTCTGACCATTCAACAATCAAAAAATGGTAATTCAGTTTTGTTTTGATTTTCATCTTTGTTTACTGATGAAGTGCATATATTTTCACATTCTTGTTAGATTTATGTTTTAAAGTGTTGGATCAAAGAGGAAAGATGACCAAAGGAGACTTCGGGTAGTGGTCCACAGGGAGTTTGGCCAAGGCTTTCAAGAGAGAGATAGGGACATATATGCATATTCAGAAAGATCTTGAGAAAGACAAAGATAAAGGGTGAAGGATAAAGATAGGGAATTGGGAGAAGATATAAAAATGTATGTCATTGTTGTAAGACTCAGAAAATGAGAATTTTAAAAAAAAGTGTCTGTTTTGAAATGGGCATCCTATCCATGTGTAGCAACATGGATGGACCTTGAGGGTGTTATGCTGAGCGAAATAAGTCAGGCAGAGAAGGACAAATATCATATGTTTGCACGTATAGGAGGATTAGGAGGAACTTGACGGAGGAACAAGGGGGAGAAGAAGGGCAGAAAAGGTGGGGGAAAGGGAGAGAGGCAAACCATGAGAGACTCTTGAATGCTGACAAAAACTGAGGACTGATGGATGTGGGGGGGAGGGGGAGATGGGCATGGAGGTGGGCACTTTGGGGATGAGCACTGAGTGTTATGTGGAAACTAATTTGACAATAAACTATTTGTAAAAAAAAAAAAAAAAAAAAAAGAAATGGGCATCCTATGATAAAGTCAAGAAGAGACTGACAAGACAGCCAGAGGAAGGTTTAAACCCACAATGGATCAGGTCTGTTCCTTTATGATGAAGGAGGGAAGGAAAGGTAGAAAGGAGGAAAGGAAGACAGCTTGGTAACAAATGCAGGTAACACCTTAGATACTATCATAGGGTAATTTAAGTTTCAAAGTTAGTGCCTTTTTAGCAAAACATATTAATTTCAGAGTAGATTATACTGTTCTCAGCAAATGTTGACTAAGAGCTTATGAACTGAAGTTTAATGGTTTTATTAGTACTCTTTGAGATTTACTGACTCCTTTCCTTTCCTAAAACTCAGGAAACAGAATACCAATTCCTCTTTTTGAAGTCACTATGCCTCAGCTAAGCATACATGCAAACGGCTGAGTCTTCACATAAATACCCTGAGTCCCTAATTAAGGCCCCAAAAGATCTGTCTAAATTGTAGTTGTGTTGCCAGCACCTATGCAGTTCTGGCCTGGCAGGAGTTAAGACTTGGCTCTGAAATTCTCACAGGAGAGGTACACTTACCAAGCCAAAGTGGCTGGCCTTGGGAATTAAACAGTAGTCTCTCGCTTTCCTGCTGGCAGGCAGGAGCTGTATATATATCGCTGCTTATTATTCGCTGTAAATGGCTGTCCTGCCAATGTAATTCACGGCCCTCGATGGCTCTAGTGAACACTGTTCGTCTTGGTCTGGATAAGGAGTCTGGGGAAAGAAAGAAATGCAGCAGTTCAATGACAGACAATCTGAAGTTCTAATTCTTATATGTCTTCATCAGAGTGGGAGGATGAGAAGAATAGTTTGTGGTTGGTGAGAGCAGCCATTCTACCATCTGTCTAGTTGCTGTCTCTTTCTTGGATAGCCCTTAATTTGCCTGTCCTCTATGGGAAGAACTTTTCTACAGAAATCTATGGCTGTCTTTCTACCTCTGCAGAAGACCAATTTCTCCTAGGACCAACAGCCACATGAAAGAGAGGGACTGTGGTGCCCGGCTGCTCAATTACAAGGACACAAACCGCTTCTATAGAAATCAGAATAAGAGAGAAGTAGTTAGGTAATCTCCCTGGGCAATTTATAACCTGTCTCATTTACAGCATGACCCTTATCAGACTAAGGACTTACATGTAATTGATATTAAAAGCTGAAAAAGAGCTGAAGCCCCGTGTATTCTGGTCCCTTTATCATACTATTATCTATAGGCTTACAGCCTTGTTCTCTAATATGAAAAACTGATGCTGACAAGACTAATTAACATGGAATCTTACTATGCCATATCTCTTCAGGAAAAGGGTTGCAAGGAAACCAAAACAGCTTAGGATGGTATATAGGAAGACCACGTGAAAGACACACTGTCACAAATTGTGTGGATATCGAAGGATTCATAGCAATTACATTTAAGGAAATAAATACACCATAAAGGATTATTTAATTGACTCTCTGCCAAATTAGGGGCAGATGTAATTATTTTGGGATCAAGGGTTAAAGTACTATGCAGGTATTTCCAGAAGCCCAAATGAGGGGGTATATCCACTGAGCCTGTGCAAAAAATCTGGGAGGGAAAGCCAGAGGATTCAGAATGAACATGAAAGAAATGAACATATTTATTCACTAAGCAAAGTCCTTAGAACATAGTAGTTTCTTCAGAATTTGATATATCCCAGAGAGTATGGGATTGGATGATTAAATTAGAATAGCACTGACCGTATCTACTGAAATGTCTTCTCTTTCATGTTGTCCCTCAGTAGAAGCACAATGTACCTTCTACTGGCTACAGTCTAAGCACCTCTCTTCCTGAACTGAGACTCTACCTTGGGTCTGCTCAGCTCACAATGGGGATTAGGCTCCCAATATTCATTAAGTCTGCAAACAATAAGTGCCTACTACATGGCAGGTACTTGTTCCAGGTGCTAAGGATATATAAAGTCCCTGTCTTTATGGGACTTCATTTTTTTTTAAGTTCATTTATTTATTTTGAGAGAGAGAGAGAGAGCACAAGCAAGGGAAGAACAGAGTGTGAGGGAGAGAATACCAAGTAGGCTCTGCCCTGATGCAGGGCTCAGTCCCATGCACTGTGAGATCATAACCTGAGCCAAAATCAAGAGTTGTACGCTTAACCAACTGAGCCACCCAGGCACTGCAGGCCTTTACATTTAAGTGGACAGAGACAGTTAAATAAACATATAGTGTATCAGATATATCAGACGGTTATGAGTGCTATGGAAAAGACTAAAGCAGGATTAAGTAGAAAGGCAAGCTAGTGTTGGGTGGGGGTTATTGTTTTAAATTGAAAAAAAAATCTTTATCTGTTTTTGAGAGAGAGAGAGAGAGAACACGGCGTGGGAGGAGAGGCAGAGAGAGGGAGACACAGAATCTGAAGTGGGCTCTAGGCTCTGAGCTGTCAGTACAGAGCCCGATGTGGGGCTCAAACCCATGAACTGTGAGATCATGACCTGAGCCGAAGTCAGACATTTAACCAACTGAGCCACCAAGGCACCCTTATTTTTTTTTTTTTTATACAGAATGATCTCTAATAAGAACAGAAACCTTGGGGCACATGGGTGGCTCAGTCAGTTAAGTGCCTGACTTTGGCTCAGGTCATGATCTCATGGTTCATGGGTTCGAGCTCCACATTGGGTTCTGTCCTGTCAGCTCAGAGCCTGGAGCTGCTTTCAGATTCTGTGTCTCCCTCCCTCTCTGCCCCTCCCCCGCTCATATTCTGTCTCTCTGTCTCAAAACTAAACTATAAAAAATTAAAAAAAAATAAAAAAGAACAGAAACCTCAAGGAACTGAAGAGCAAACCTTAGACATAACTAAGGGAAGAGTATTCCAGGCAAAAGTAATAGCAAATGCTAAATCCTGATGTGGGGGCATATGTGGAATGTTTGAGAGCAGCGAGGAGTAAGTGTATTTAGAATAGAATGAGTAAGCAGGGAAATCATAGCAGATGAGGTAAGAGAGATACTAGCAAGCCAGATCACGGAAGGCCTTACAGGCCATAAGTGAAAGATGAGAAGCCACTAGAGGGCTCTGAACTGCTGAAGGTATATAGTACGGCCCACTTTTTAAAAGGATAATTAGTGTAGACACTTATAATTGTTATCTCTTCCTGATGGATAGACCCTGTAATTATTATTATCCCTTGTTACTGCCTTTACTTTAAAGTTTGTCTGATATGAGTATAGCGACTGCTACTCCAGCTTTCTTTTGACTTCCAGTAGCATGATAGATATTTCTCCATCCTCTTACTTTCAATCTGAAGGTGTTCTCAGGTCTAAAATGAGTCTCTTGTAGACAGAAAATAGATGGATTTTGTTTTTTTATCCATTCTGCTACCCTATGTCTTTTGATTGGAGCATTTAGTCCATTTACATTCAGTGTTATTATTGAAAAATATGGGTTTAGAATCATTGTGTTCCCTTAGGATTCATGCTTGTGGTGTCTCTGGTATCTTGTGTTCCTTGCAACATTTCCCTCATACAGTCCCCTTTAGGATTTCTTGTAGGGCTGGTTTAGTGGTGAAGAATTCTTTCAATTTTTGTTTAAATGGAAAGACTTTTATCTCTCCTTCTATTCTGAATGACAGGCTTGCTGGATAGAGGATTCTTGGCTGCATACTTTTTCTGTTCATCACATTGAAGATCTCCTGCCATTCTTTTCTGGCCTGCCAAGTTTCAGTAGACAGGTCTGTAACTACTCTGATAGGTCTCCCTTATGTTAGGGCCCTTTTATCCCTAGCTGCTTTCAGAATCCTCTCTTTGTCCTTATATTTTGCCAGTTTCACTATGATATGTCATGCAGAAGACTGATTCAAGTTACATCTAAGGGGAGTTCTCTGTGCCTCTTGGATTTCAATGTCTGTTTCCTTCCCCAGATTGGGGAAGTTTTCAGCTATAATTTGTCCAAGTACTCCTTCAGCACTTTCCCTCTCTCTTCTTCTTATGGAATTCCTATGATACGGATATTGTTCTGAAAAACAAATAATCCAGTGAAGAAATGGGCAGAAGACATGAACAGACACTTCTCCAAAGAGGACATCCAGATGGCCAACAGACACATGAAACGATGCTCAGCGTCCCTTATCATCAGGGAAAATACAAATCAAAACCACACTGAGATACCACCGCACGCTGGTCAGAGTGGCTAAAATGAACAAATGAGGAGACTACAGATGCTAGTGAGGATGTGGAGAAACGGGCACCCTCCTACACTGTTGGTGGGAATGTAAACTCGTGCAGCCCCTCTGGAAACCAGTGTGGAGGTTCCTCAAAAAATTAACAATAGAACTCCCCTATGACCCAGCAATAGCACTGCTAGGAATTTATTAAATTTATCAGAAGCACTGATACATAAAAGCACATGTACCCCAGTGTTCATAGCAGCACTTTCAATAATAGCCAAATCATGGAACGAGCCTAAGTGTCCATCAACTGACAAATGGATCAAGAAGACGTGGTTTATCTACACAATGGATTACTACATGGCAATGAGAAAGAATGAAATCTGGCCATTTGTAGCAATGTGGATGGAACTTGAGGGTGTTAGGCCGAGTGAAATAAGTCAGGCAGAGAAAGACAGATATCATATGCTTCCATTTATAGGAGGATTAGGAGAAACTTAATGGAGGATCATGGGGGAGGAGAAGGGGAAAAACATTTGGGAAGAGGGAGAGAGGCAAACCATGAGAGACTCTTGAATACTGAAAACAAACTCAGGGCTGATGGGAGGGGGAGAAGGGAAGGGGAGTGATGGGCATGGAGGAGGGTACTTGCTGGGATGAGCACTGGGTGTTATATGGAATCCAACTTGACAATAAACTATGAAAGAAAAAAGTAAAAAACTAAAACTAAAAAAAAAAAAAGGATAATTGGAGAATAGTATGCAATAACATAAGCAATATTGAGAACAGACCATAAGGTAGAAGGGCAGAAGCAGGAGGAGCAGTTAAGAAGTCCATCCAATAATTTGTGAAAGATGATGGCAACTTGGCCAGAGTAATAAGCAGTAGAAATAAGAATATATAGATTCTGGATATATTCTGAAGGTAAAGGCAATAGGCTTTGCTCGTGGAATAGATCTGGAGTGAGAGAGAAAAAAAAATCAAGAAGGGCTCCATGGTTTTTAATGTGGATTTACCATATATGGAGATAGGGAAGACTATAGGAGGAACAGGTTTGGGTGGGACTGAATAGGTAAGAAATCCTACTGAGATGGCTACTAATATCAAAGTGGAGATATTGAAAAGGCTGTTGAACATACAAGTCTAGAGTTGTTGAGAGGAAAAATCTGGTCAAGGAGATACAAATCTGGGAGTTGTTGGTATACAGATGATTATTAAAACAATGCAATCACCAGGAGTATGTATACAGAGAGTAGTTGTTTGATGACTGAACCCTACACACTCTAACATTTTAGGTTAGGAAGTGGGGAGGAGACAGTAAAGGAGACTGAGAAGGAGGAACCAATGAAGTAAGAGCAGAACCAAGAGTAGTATCTTGGAAATAAGATGAAAAATGTGTTCTGATGAGAAAGTAAACAATTGTAACAAATACTACTGACAGGTCAAGCAAGATTATGACCAAAAATCAACCACTAGATTTGGCCATGGTTAACAACAGTGACCCATACAAGAGCAGTTTCAGTAGTGGAGGATGAAAGCTGACTAGAGGGAGTTCAAGGGAGAATATGAGCAGAAGTAGAGATATAAATATATACTATTCTTTTAAAATAATTTTGTTCCTTCTACTACTTATTTCTACTACCTCAGAGAAACAGGATGGTAGTCAGAGAAGCACGTGGGAACAACATGAGTGTGTTCTGTGTTTTGTTTTGTTCTGTTTTGTTTTGTCATAAGAGAGAAAGCAATGTATTTGTATACTCTCATAGGAATAATCCACAAAAAACTGTGAAGCCGGTGAAAGAGGAGATAATTCCTGAATTGATATCCTGGATAAAAAAGATGAAATAGATACTTGAGAATAAGTAGAGGGCTTAGACTTAGAAGCACAACTAAAAACAGGGGAAGAAGATGACGTTGGTCACAGACAGAGGCAGATGAGAAACTCTTGGAAGTTCTCTTGTGATTGCTCCTATACTTTCAGTGAATGAGAAGCAAGGCTATCAGCTGAATGTGAGGAAGAGGGGAGTTGGGGAGTGGGAGATATAGTTTTCAGGAAAAGATGGCATGAAACAGTAATTTAAAAGAGTGAAATAAGCATAGATTAGGGAAATGTGGTGGATGTCTGGACAGTACTATGAACCCATTTGAAATCACTAGTCATAAAGTAAAACCAGTGACTATACTTATGTTTCTCTTCATTATGTTCAGCTATGTGGGTGTGAGCACTGAGGAATTAGAGAGTTAGACTTAGCTACTAAAGTTAGTGTTTTGCTCTATGAACAAAATAAAGGGAAAAAGGAGATTGAATATGTATGTGCAGGAGTAATTATAATGATGCACCAAGGAATCTAACCTGGATAAGGAGGAAAACGAGGCTACCAGGAAAATGAATATGTGGCAGGATCAAAATTCCTAGTGAGTTAAAGAATTATTGAAACTGGGATACTAGAGGGGCGCCTGGGTGGCTTAGTCGGTTGAGCGTCCGACTTTCGCTTAGGTCATGATCTCGCGGTTAGTGGGTTCGAGCCCCACATCGGGCTCTGTGATGACTGCCAGCTCAGAGCCTGGAGCCTATTTAAGAGTCTGTGTCTCCCTCTCTCTCTGACCCTCCCCTGCTCATGCTGTCTCTCTCTCTCTCCTAGAAATTAAAAAAAAAGAAACTGGGATACTAGAGAAAATAAACTAGCAAGACTGATGATGGTAATTAGAGCTGCCTGAAATTTAGATTATGAAGAAGGTATAGTTATTGGTAATGACAAGGCTTAGGGTATGATCTTGGGTTGGCATGGCTCAATTATGGTGGTAGACAAGACTACTAAAAGAAAGGAGGTCAAAGAATTGAGAGACTAGAATATTGGAAGGGTCATCTGTGCGGCTTCTGAAATCATCAAGAATTCCAATATAAGTGGTGACAGAGAGCAGAGAACAGCCAAAAATCTTCAAGGAATCAAGGGGACTGACTCAGAGGTCTACAAATGACCCAAATCAGAAGGGTAGCAGATAGCATATTTTGATGACATTAACTTTAAAGCTGGCGGGTATTTTGGGAAGAAGGAAAGGATAATGATATAGAAATGGCAATGAAGAATAAGTGGGATCCCTATTGGGGAGCCTGGGTGGCTCAGTCAGTTAAGCGTCCGACTTCAGCTCACGTCGTGATCTCACAGTTTGTGGGTTCGAGCCCCACATCAGGCTCTGTGCTGATGGCTCAGAGCCTGTTTCAGATTCTGTGTCTCCCTCTCTCTCTGCCCCTTCCACACTCATTCTCTGTCTCTCAAAACTGAATAAATGCTAAAAAAAAAATTAAGAATAAATGGGATCCCTATTGATCCATTAGGTGAAAAGACATGAGAGCTAAATCAGCCACAACTTAAGAAGACTGCAGAAGAAGCAATATTCTGAGAATCAGTAACAACAAATAACCTATTTGATAAGGAAGAAGCTGCCAAAATGGAGGCAGGTCTTTACAAGTATTTGATTCTCTATGACAATCTAAAGCCAATACTAAAGGGATGGTGTGTTGTGGAGGTTAGATGGTGTGAGTAAAGCGTAGCTTAAAGAAATGGCAAAACTGTAGCCTTTTCACCTCTTGTTACCTTAGTTGCCATGAATATACTTACAATCAGTTATGAGACACTAGATAAAACCTGGCAAGAACAATTTAAATTATTTTCTCCTTGATATTAAAAATATCAGATTTATCACTTAAAATAGAAGTGACCCACATGTAAAATCATTGTGTGAAAAAAATCCCCTACCAATAAAGGTTCCCAATGGACAAAAGAGCAATCAGTTGCCAACAGCAAATAGCTTGAGTTAGATGAACTAAAAACTGATGTGAATACTGATGCTCAGTGATTTCATAGGCCAATGGGCTCAAAAGGTAGAGGGTACAGTATCACTGTACTGGATTTGTCTTAAAAGGGGCCAAGAGTCTTAGCAGTAATTTGGGAAGATAATCCATCCTAGCTATCTGCTATACAAAAACATTTGAGGAAAACAGAAAAGTAAGAAAAACAATTGTCAGGACATCTTAAAACCTGTGTTTTGCAGGCCTTCCATTCTACTCTTCAGGTAGGTCTTCTGAGCTAAAACCAACCCCAACTGAGGCCAAGATCCTTTAGTCATAATGAACTTAAAAGGTAAAGAGGATTCATGCAGAGGACTCTAGGAATTTATGCTGGGCACTGTAAGGACACTTTAGATATGGAAAAAGACAGCATGTCTTTTTGACATCTACAATGTCAAAGATAAAAGTTTACCCTTATTTAAGGATTGGTATTCAAGACAAACAAAAGGATAGGCTTTTCTTATTGAGGATGACAATACTGACAGACAACTGTCCAGCCACCTTTTTTCTAGCACTTTACCCTCCCACCTTTGGGAGCTCCAGGCACAAAGACTGTAGAAGGATATATGGCTCACCTGGGCTGTGACTGGCATTCTGGGGAAGTGCATTGGTGATGTTGGGCAACTCATGCCCATAGTTCCCATCCTCCAGGGGACAGACATCCAGGTCACTCCACCTCTGCAGTTGTTGCAGCCAACAGGATTTTTCTTCCAGTTTGCAGTGTGGGTTTAAAATGATGCATACCCATAAGGCCCCTGGAAAATAAAGCAACCAACATTCTTGATATCCTCTGATGTATGTTAAGTTTTACTTTTTCAGTCTATTCTTCTCTTCCATTTTTAGTGGTAGGAAAAGTTTCCAAAACATCAGCTTTTCTAAATATAAAAAATCAAATCTGTTGGGGCACCTGGGTGGCTCAGTTGGTTGAGCATCTAACCTTTTTTTTTAATAATTTTTTTAAAAGTTATTTATTTTGAGAGAGGCAGAGACAGCACAAATGGGGGAGGGGCAGAGAGAGAAGGGGAGAGAGAGAATTGCAAGCATGCTCCATGCTGGTAGGAGTGTCTGACTCTTGATTTTGGCGTAGGTCATGATCTCATCTCAGAATTGTGAGATCAAGCCCTGTGTCAGACTCCAGGCTGTGCCTGGAGCCTACTTAGGGTTCTCTCTCCCACTCCCTCTGCCCCTCCCCAGCTCACACACACGCTCTCTCTCAAAAACAAAACAAAACAAAACAAATCTGCTAAAGTTTTTAGAAATGGCTTATTTTTCCTTCTCAAAGCTTCCTTAAATATCCTTCCTGGATATCTGGATGTGTGCCTATAATGATGAACAAAACAGATTTTGGCTTGAATTCTGAGCTCAGATTTGCAGTCCAACATATATTTATTGAGAGTTTTCTATGTTTGAGGCTTTTTCTCCTACTGGTGATAAGACATTGTTCTAACCCTTGAAGAGCTGACTAATGGGGGAAATAGATAGATACACATAATGTCATTTGAATATGATAAGTGTTAAGATAAAGATATGGGTACAACAGCAACATAGAGGAAGGGCACTTAGCACAAGGGCAGGGATCAGAAGGGAGTGCTCAGAAAAGGTTTCAGTTTTTGGTTAGTTGACCTTGGACTTTCTGAAATTCATATCCCTCAACTGTAAAACTGAGAGCATAAAAATAACTACCTTTTTTTTTTTTTAAAAAAAAAAAAAAGCTTATTTATTTTAGAGAGAGAGAGAGAGGAAATAGAGGATCATGCAGGAGAGGGGCAGAGAGAGAGGAAGATAGAGGATCCTAAGCGGGCTCTGCATGACAGTAGAGAACCTGACTCGGGGTTTGAACCCATGAACTGTGAGATTATGATCTGAGCCAAAGTCAGACGCTCAACCAACTGAACCACCCTGGTGCCCCAAAACAACTACTTTGTAGGGATTTATGAGAAAAATTGAAATAAGATTTGTAAAAGGCCTAGCATATTACTTGGGACATAGAAGAATTTTAGTATTTCCTTTTTTCAAGAAAAATGGTTTATTTCAGTTTGGATTTTGATACTGTTGATCAACTGTGATGCCTTAAAACTATTACATTCTTGGATCTTCTCTGTTACTGTAGCAGACTATCACATATTCTATATAGTCTATGAGTACTGTTTTTCTGACCATATTACCTTCTTTTCAAGCAAATCTGCTTCTTTTCAAGGTTGGCTATGACTGAGCTAGATATATTCTCAATGTCAAATCAGCAATAAGCCTGGCTGCAAAGTGTCTTAAGTTAAATGTTTATGATAAACATCCTTTGGGATGAAACTATATCTGTGCACAGAGGTACTGTGAAACACTATTTCAAGGTCCTTCAAACTCAAATAGGAATGGTTTAAAGGCCATTTTTAGCCTCAATTTCAGATAATACCTGAAGATGGTGAAAATTCATTTCTATGGGTTCAGTTTTAAAAACCGACCATGAAATAAAAACTATACTATGTAATATAATAGTTTTATATTATGATGACTCTCAAGGGAATTATAGTTAGGATTTACCCAAATAATAATTATAATAAAGCATGGTAAATGCTATCATAGACATACATAAAATCCTATAAGAATATACATGATGGAACAATGAATTCTGCATTTGGGGTCAGGAGAAGTTATAGAAAGAAAAGGACATTTAAGTTTGAAGAATAAACATGAATTAATTCTGGTTAAAGCTAACCACTGTTTCCTTCTGAAACCTCACTAAAATGAAAGTAAAGGGATAAAAACAGGTGTAAGCTCACACAGACACAGAGGATGGGAGAGATAAAAGAGAACAGCCATAAAATTTTAGAATCTGGAAAGTGGATGAGTGATAGCTGACTTAGCAGAACAGACAAAATTGAAACCTCCATTGGCAGTCAGGAAAGCCCAGAAGCAGACAGATTCATGCCATAGAACCCTGCTGAAAGTGGGGCTGAAACTAGTAAAATTGGTTGGAAGTTTGTCAAAGGTCTCAGCATCCCAGAGTTCCTCCTCTAGTCAAGGTAGCTGACTGCCTGCTCCTTCCCTCTCCTGGAAGAAGGCCAGAGCTTTATTCATTGGGAAGGTTGATTCAGAGAGGCTCTGGATTGAAACTACTACTCACAGTCGAGGGGGCGGGGGTTTCCATACTAAAAACTGAGGGATTAAGTCAATACACATTGAACAAATGGACACCCCCCTGACCCAACCCTCTTTCCCCACGTGGTTCTAAGAAAACTGTGACAGGCTTATAAACCAGAGACAAGAGATTGGAGAATTCATCTCTGGAAACAAATCAGCCCAAAGGGGAAAAAACAAAGCAGATAACTAAAAAAAACCCAACCAGATCATCCTCAGTTACACACACACACACACACACACACACACACACACACACAGAACTTCCTTTTAGCTTTTGAGTGTTACTCTTAAATAGGAATGGACAGCTAAGAAATGTTAGATATATGAGGAAAGCACCTGACTTGAAGGACAGAGAGCAAAAGCAAACAGAAAGAAGAAAAACTTGGAGGAAATACAAAAAAGGCAGAGAAGAGAAAACTTAAAGAAATAAAAAAACGGCATTGATATCAGCAAAGTGAGAAGATACTGCATCTAAGAAAAAAGTGCAGGACACAGCAATAACAAAAATGGGTTCTTGAAAATTAAACCTATGATGACAAAAAAACAGATTAAAAATTAGTAAGATGTTTGAAAGATAAAACTGAGGAAACCACCTAGAAGATAAAAGACAAAAAATGAAAACAAAAACATACCATAACAATGAAAGAAAAAATAAAATTAGAGGATCAATCTCCATTTAGTATGTTCAGTCATAAAAAATAATTTAATGTAGCAATTTTACTATCTGTTTAGAGACATCCCTTCTGGAACCCTCTATTTTCTTATTCCCAATCTAGACTGTTAGTCCTCTAAGCCTGTTGCATAGTAACCTAGAAGCTAATATCCAAATAACAGAAATAGCTCCAGACAAAAAGAGAAAGAAAAGGGTGAGGAAATTTAAAAAAAAATTTTTTTTTCAAGAAAACCTATTACACTAAAGGATTCAGGTTTCCCAGCTGAGAAGGCTTAGTGAGTATTAAGCAGATTAGGTTTTTTATTTTTAAAATTTTATTTATTTATTTTTAAATAGGCTTCATGCCCAGTGCAGAGCCCAATACAGGGTTTGAACTCACGACCCTGAGATCAAGACCTGAGCTGAGATCAAGAGTCAGAAGCTTAACCAACTAAGCCCCCTAGGTGTCCCCAGATTAGATTTTTTAAAAGTTTATTTATTTATATTTTTAGTAATCTCTACACCCAACGCAAGGCTCAAACACACAATACAGGTTAAGAGTCACATGCTCTACTGACTGAGCCAGCCAGGCACCCAAGCAGATAAGATTTTTGAAAAATTTAGTGGGCGCCTGGGTGGCTCAGTCTTTTGGGTATCTGATTTTTGATTTTGCCTTAGGTCATGATCTCATGATTGTGAGATGGAGTCCTGCATCGGGCTCTGCGCTGAGCATGGAGCCTGCTTGGAAGTCTCTCTCTCAAATTAAAAAAAAAAAAAAAAAAAAAGTAGGAGAAGGCCATCAGAAAAAACACAACATTTTCCTGAATGAGAATGGCCTGGTACCTCACAACAGTAAGGGGAAGCTAGAGGACAATGGAGATATGTCTTCAAAATTCTAAGGGAAAAGAATAAGATTTCCAACCTAGAATTACACACCCAATCAAAGTATCACTCAAAAGAGAGTAAAATCCAGACACTCAGCAATGCAAAATTTATCAACTATCTCCCACCCTGTCTGAGGAAGCTACTGGAAAATGTACTCAACCAAAGCAAGAAGTAAATCCACAGAGGGGAAGATGTTGGATCCAGAAAACAGGGGGTCTAACATAGGAGAAAGGAAAAGGGAAGTCCTAGAATGATAGTGAAGAGCAGTATCTGCATGATTATTCTGTAGCAGGTTTAGAGAGCAAACAATCTAAACCAGGGATAGGAAAATAAATGGTTCCAGAAGAAATGTCTCTAATAAGATAATAAAATTGATAATTATTTGATGTGACCAAATATACTGTATGAAGATTTTAAATTACTGGTAGACAATTCAGGGGTAAATTAATATAACAACAGAAAAATCTGCAACCTCCCGAATAGTCAAACAACAAACAAAAAAAGTAATTATTAATTCCTCAAAGAATTCTTACTCAACACATCTCTGGAGGCAAGGGAAACAAAATAAAAACTGAACTACTGGGACCTCATCAAAATAAAAAGCTTCTGCACAGTGAAGGAAACAATCAGCAAAACTAAAAGGCAACAGACGGAATGGAATCAGGCATTTGCAAGTGACATATCAGATAAAGGGTTAGTATCCAAAATATATAAAGAACTTATAAAACTCAACATGCATAAAACAAATGGGCAAAAGACACAAATAGACACTTCTCCAAAGAAGACATCCAGATGGCCAACAGACACATGAAAAATTGCTCAACATCACTCATCATCAGGGAAATACAAATCAAAACCACAATGAGATACTACTTCACACCTGTTAGAATGGCTAACATTAACAACTCAGGCAACAACAGAAGTTGGCAAGGATCTGAGAGAAAGGGTCTCTTTTCCACTGCTGGTGGGAATGTGAACTGGTGCAGCCACTCTGGAAAACAGTATGGAGGTTTCTCAAAAAATTAAAAACAGAACTACCCTATGACCCAGCAATTGCACTACTAGGTATTTATCCAAAGGATACAAAAATGCTGATTCAAAGAGGCACATGCACCCCAATGTTTATTGCAGTGCTATCAACAATATTATGTTAAGAGCCTAAATGTCCATCCATCGACTGATGAATGGATAAAGAAGATATGGTGTCTGTATATATATATGCCTATATACACATGGAATGTTACTTGGAAATCAAAATGAAGGAAATCTTGCCATTTGCAACAATGTGGATAAAACTAGAGTGTATTATGCTAAGCAAAATAAGTCAGAGAAAGACAAATATCATATGATTTCACTCACCTATGGAATTTAAGATACACAACAGATGAACACAGGGGAAAAGAAAGAAAAATAAGATAAAAACAGAGGAGGGAAACTATAAGTGACTCTTAAATACAGAGAACAAACCGAGGATTGCTGGATAGGCGGTGGGTGGGGGATGGATTACATGGGTGATGAGTATTAAGGAGGGCACTTGCTGGGATGAGCACTGGGTGTTATTATTTTTTTATTAAAAATTTTTAATGCTTATGTTTTTAAAATGTTTTTGTTTAGTGTTGAGAGAGAGATAGAGACAGCATGAGCAGGGGAGGGTCAGAGACAGAGGGAGAACACAGAATCCGAAGTAGACTCCAGGCTCTGAGCTGTCAGCACAGAGCCCAAGTGGGGCTTAAACCCACAAACTGTGAGATCATGACTTGAGCTGAAGTCAGACGTTTAACTGACTGAGCCACCCAGGTGCCCTGAGCACTGGGTATTATATGAAAGTAATGAACCACTGGGTTCTACTCCTGAAACCAATACTATACTGTATGTTAATTAAGGTGAATTTAAAACAACAACAACTATGGTGAGATAACACTTCACACCTGTTAGAATGGCTAAAATTGAAAACAAGAAACAACAGATGTTGTTGAGCATGTGGAAAAAGGGGAATCCTCTTGCACTGTTGATGGGAATGCAAAGTGATACGGCCCTGTGGAAAACAGTATGGAGGTTCCTCAGAAAGTTACAATAGAACTACTCTATGATCCAGCAATTGCATTATTAGGTATTTACCCAAAGGATACAAGAATACTAATTCAAAGGGATACATGCACCCCAATGTTTATATAGCAGCATTGTCAACAATAGCCAAATTATGGAAACAGCCCAAGTGTCGAAGCTGTAGTATATACACACATGGAATATTACTCAGCACAAAAAAGAATGAAATCTTGCCATTTGCAATGACAGGGATAAAGCTAGAGAGTATAATGCTTAGTGAAATAAGTCAGAGAAAGACAAATACCATATGATTTCACTCAGATGTGGAATTTAAGTAACAAAACAAACAAGCAAAGGGGAAAAGAGAGGCAAACCAAGAAACAGATTCTTTTTTTTAAAAGACTTTTTTATTTATTTATTTTGAGAGAGAGTGTGTGTGCACACAGGTGGGGTAGAGAGAGGTATTTCCAACCAGGCTCTGCACTGTCAACATGCAGCCTGATGTGGGGTTCAAACTCACCAACTGTGAGATCATGACCTGAGCCGAAACTGAGAGGTGGATGCTTAACCAACAGAGCTGCCCAGGCACCCCCAAGAAACAGACTCTTAATTACAGAGAACAAACTGCTAGTTAACCAGAATGGAGGTGGATGGGGGGATGGGTTAAATAGGTAATGGGGATTAAGGAGTGTACTACCTGTGATGAGAACTGCATGCTGTATAGAAGTGCTGAATCACTACATTTTTTTTAAATTATCAAAACTGTTTTATTTTCAATACAAGATAAATACCATGTTTGTTACTAGTGCAGTTTAAGGCCAACAATGGCCATATAGCAAACTGCTGAACAGTTACCTAAATGCTAAAGAAAGAAAAGACGGAAAATAAACATTAAACACGAAGTTGCAATTACAAACATTTTAATAAAATGGAATGAGCTTTTTAACAGAAGCTAATATGGAAGTCTAGTTCTCATGGACACCAAAAAGATGTCTATTTGATCAAATATCACCTTACCTTTTGCACAGAAATCTTATTGTGAAGTTACTAGTGTCAATAGCTAAAATTGTAAGACTTTCTTTGGCCTTCTGATATTAGACAAATTATTTACAAACTGTGATTTCAGTTAACTGAATCACTACATTGTACACCTGAAACTAATATACTATATGTTAACTAACTGGAATTTAAATGAAAACTTAAAAAAAGAAATATTGCTATGCATGGAAGAAGAGAAATGGGGTAATAATTGGAGGGGGATGAGAACATCAGAGGCATTTTTTTTTGAGATTGAAGATATTAGAGCGCTCTGTATGCTGATGGGATTGGTCTGGTAGAGAGGGAGAAATTAATAATGACAGAGGAGTTCAAAGTGGCCTTTTATAGAAGAATCTAGAACAGAGAAGCCATTCAGGAGGCCACAGGTCTAATTTAATCTAAATGTTCCCAAGGCCCTCAACCAGACCAGTGGTGACAGGAAATAAAAGGTGTGAATGGACATCAAATTGCATTTTGAAAGTCAAGGCAACAGATGAAGTTGGTGACTGAATGTTGGGAATGAAAGAAGAATGAGAGCTTGACATTAAGTTTGGTAGACTGAGCAATGTGCCAATGCCAAAGTTAGGGGAAACTTTTTTGGTAGAAGTCTTGAGTTCATTTTTGGATTTCTCAAGCTTGAGGTGATCAGGGCATTTTTCAGTGGAAATGGTCACAGGGGAGCACTACTATGGGATTGGAACTCAGATAAGTGGAAATAAGATAAGGTTGAGTGAGATCAACAGAAGTAAGCTCTAAAGCTGTGACATTAAAAAAAAAAAAAGTTCTTAAGGGAGTATAGAGGAAGAAGAATAGAAGTCCAAGGCCCAAGTCTTGGAAACTGCCCTACATCTAGAGATCGTCTACTAGTGATAAAGAAGAGCAAACCCAGGAAAAGCAAGAAAAGTGAGGTTGGTAAGTGTTTGGAGAGCCAGGCTAGTGCCATGCAAAAGAAGCCAAGGCAAGAGGTTTTCCCTCAGCAAAGGCTTCTATGTGGTAATATCTGGAACAGATAGCAATGCTAACATCTGGGAGAATAGCGAAGCACAGTGCTGTGTAAACAACACAAGTGAGTTCAGAATATTCTGGGTGGCCTGTGTAGAGCCTGTATCTTCCACAGCTAGTCTAAAGTTCATTTAGCAAGACCTACGTAATGATTGATGGTAAGTATTTGCTAACACTGTTCCCAGGGGGCAAACTGGTAGGACAGACAAAACACTTCTCTGAGATAGGGGAACTTACCGAGCTCATCCCAGAGCTGCCTGCACTTATCTGTCATGCTTGTTCCTTGCTGCCTCCAGAGTGTGAGTCGTGGGTCAGCCATAAACTGCTCAGTTATCAGCGTCAGCATCCTGGCTCCATTGGTATCTCTCATCCGCAGCATCTCTCGAACCTGACACATAAGGAGGGGCCAGGGGTTGGTGACTGCACATCATGAAAAAGCAGGAGGAGAAGGAAGGGGAGGAGAAGATGAAGTATCTAAGCACAACATAACCAAAGAGCCAAAAAGAAGCCTTCTTGTTCTATAAGCAAGTTCTCTGCATATATTAAGAAAGCCTGTGGTACACATTGAGATTACCACTTCACATTCACTAGGATGGCTAGAATTAAAAAGTCAGATAAGAACAAGTGTTGGTGATAATATAGAGAAATCAGACCCTTGAAACAGTGTTGGTGGGAATGTAAAATGATGCAACCACTTTAAAAATCAGTCTAGCAGTTCTTCAAATGATTAAACGTAGAGTTATATGACCTATCAATTTCAATCTTAGACAGAAATGAAAACACATGTTCACACAGAACCTTGTATAAGAATGTTTATAGGGGCGCCTGGGTGGCTTAGTCGGTTAAGCATCCGACTTTCGCTTAGGTCACGATCTCGCGGTTCGTGGGTTCGAGCCCCGCATCGGGCTCTGTGCTGACTGCCAGCTCAGAGCCTGGAGCCTATTTCAGTCTGTGACTCCCTCTCTCTCTGACCCTCCCCTGCTCACGCTGTCTCTCTCTCTCTCTCTCTCCTAGAAATAAATAAAACATTAAAAAAAATTAAAAAAAAAGAATGTTTATAAAAGCATTATTTATAATAGCCAAAAGATGGAAATAATCCAATGTCTACTAACAGAGAATGGATAAACAAAAGTGGTATATCCATACACTGGGATATTATTCAACCATAAAAAGGCATTAAGTATGGATACATGTTACAACATGGATGATCCTTGAAAATACTATGCTAGGTGAAAGAAACCAGGCATTAAAGACTATATACTATATGATTCCTTCTCTATGAAAGCCCCAAACAGGGAAATCTATACAGAAGGAAAGTAGATTAGTGGTTATTTAGGGCTGGGAGACGGGGAATGGAGGATAGGGAAGTGACAGGTAAAGGGCATGGGATTTCTTTTTAGGGTGATGAAAATGTTCTAAACTTGACTGTGGTGACAGCTGTGCATATCTGTGAATATATTAAAAACCACTGAATTGCACACTTTAAATGAGTAAATTTTACAGCATGTGAATTATCTCTTACTAAAGGTGTTAAGAAAAAAAGAAAGAAAGCCTGCTGTGAGAGCCCACAGTTCCAAAATACTAAATTTCTTCAAGACCTCATCCAGCAGCCTTGGGTTCAGGCAGAGGGATGGTGGCTTTCTTACTAAAACCTCAGCAATGCTAACTTTAAATATTTAGAGTAGAGCAGAAGGAAAAGGACTACCAGGGTGAGGAATTAGGGGTCCCTAGATGCTACCGGCTCTGGATCAGGTCTGCTTTGTTCAGCAACTCCCATTAATTTTCAAGCATTCAGGACAAATAGGTCAAGTGAGTTAGCTACAATGCATGAAGTCAGAAGTGTGGTGAGGCCAGTTTACTTAAAGTAAAACAAACAAACAAACAACCCCTCCCCCCTCAATCCCTTTCATATCTTACCTTGGCAAACATTGAATTGAGTTGCTTTCCAGAGCCATAGTAACCACCCTGGGAGAGAAAGAGTTTCACTTGTTCTTTCACTTGTTCTTCATCCAAATGCCAACAGTTCTCATCATCAATGCTGGCCCCAGCTGTGGGGTCAGGGGCACCTGTGAGGAATGGGAATGGTGATATGAACCCTCTGAATTGTACAAATGCTACACATTTGGCAGAAGGGATACTCTATGAGGATATTAAAAAATGGATGGCGTACTTTGCCTTATTCTGGTCTTTGTCAGTTGTGTTGTCCTATAAATAAACTAAGAGGGCTAATGCTAGGGGCGCCCGGGTGGCTTAGTCGGTTAAGAGTCCGACTTTCGCTCAGGTCATGATCTCACGGTTTGTGGGTTCGAGCCCCGCGTCGGGCTCTGTGCTGACTGCCAGCTCAGAGCCTGGAGCCTGTTTCAGAGTCTGTGTCTCCCTCTCTCTCTGACCCTCCCCTGCTCACACTGTCTCTCTCTCTCTCCTAGAAATAAACAAAACAAAACAAAAAAAAAAGAAGGCTAATGCTAGTTTTATACTCACTTATGTCTCAGTCGTACTCCCTTACAAGGTCAACAAATAACATTCTAGGGGAAATTCCAGAAGGAAATGCACAAACATGAAAACAGTGATGTATTTTTCTCCTAGAAGGTGACATTTCTTTCTTCTCTTTTCCTTCCTATGAAGTTCAAAATAAGCCTTCAAGTATAGATGTTATTGTAAGATAAAAAAAAATACTTTCTTAGAAAATAAAAAATTGTTTTTAAAGTTCACTGCAAAATTTAACTTCTGAAGCAGAGTCAACACTTCTAAATTTCTAGAAACTTGACCCTTAAAGCACAGGCAGAGGTGGATACAAGTGATAATGTTTTATAAATTTATACTCAAAATATCTTTCATATCTGGTCTCACTGCAACACATTAAAACAGTTTTAGTTCTTTACACACCCCTCTCCCCTAGTGCCTTGCTAGCTGCTTGCTCACAATTGAACCCCAAGTTGAATCTACAGGTGAATCACCTATAGCACAGTATTGTTATTCAGTAGAGACTTAGGAAATATTTGTGGGATGAACACTAAATCTTCTTTCACTTTCTCAAAGACAGTCTTATGTTAAATTTTTAGACATAAAAATGCCTGCAAGTTACAAAAGACTATTAATCAATGCTCTATAAGTGTGGTCATGTAATAGACTATAAATTCATGTCATGTTTGGGTCACCTGGCTTAAGTGTCCACTGGGGCACAGTCGGTTAAGTGTCCAACTCTTGATCTTGGCTCAGGTCATGATCTCATGGTTCCTGAGATCAAACCTTGTGTAGGGCTCTGTGATGACAGCATGGATTCTGCTTGGGATTCTCTTTCCCTCTCTCTCAAAATAAATAAATAAAACATTAAATAAATCCATGTCATGTTTAATTAGTCAGTCTATCTTTCCTCTTGTCTTCCTAGATCAAAGTACTGCTTAAATGAAATCCAGGTCTACACAGAAAAGTTGCTTTCTTATTCTCCATGAAATCAGGAGGGTTCACACATTCATTTATTCTAATAGTTAACATATATGACTGTCCAGTTTATGGTATCTACTATATGCTAGTTTCTTCAAGTGTATTATTTTAAACATAGTTCTGATTATATCACTTCCTCAGAGGTCTTCAGTGATGCGTCATTTTTATTAAATTAAGTCCAAATGCTTTAGGTTGGCATTCAAGGCTTTCTATGCTCAGGCCTTATCTTTCATTTCTAGCCTTGTCTACCCTGTATTTTTTTCCTTTTTTATTTTATTTTATTTATTTAATTAATTTTCTTTTTTTACAAATAGTTTATTGTCAAGTTGGTTTCCATATAACACCCAGTGCTCATCCCCACAAGTGCCCTCCTCCATGCCCATCTCCCCCCCCCCAACCCCCCACACCCATCAGTCCTCAGTTTGTTCTCAGTATTCAAGAGTCTTTCATGGTTTGCCTCTCTCCCTCTCCCCCACCATTTCCCCCCTTCTTCTCCTCCTTGGTCCTCCATTAAGTTCCTCCTAGTCCTCCTATACGTGCAAACATATGGTATTTGTCCTTCTCTGCCTGACTTATTTTGCTCAGCATAACACCCTCAAGGTCCATCCATGTTGCTACACATGGCCAGATTGCATTCTTTCTCACTGCCATGTAGTATTCCATCATATAGATAAACCACATCTTTTT